GAACTTACAAAGCATTGTAATTTCAACACTACGGTTTTCTATTTTTGTCCTTAAGTTATATGCATACTCGTATGGAATCTGTATATAATACAGAACTAATTTGACTAATTATGGTCATTGATAGTGATTGCTGCATTTGTTTCATACTTGTTAAAGTACTGATTTAAACTTTTTTTGTATTTATCGAAAGATGAAATATAAACATTAAAAAATTTAAAGGCTTTGAATTTCAATCATTGTTCCACCAAGTACTGATGATGATTTACTTAATATTATAGGTAAACACATTTTTACACAAAATTTATTTTACTAATTAGTTTTTTAGTTTTTTAGTTACTTATTTCCTAAAGTACTGCAATTTACTAACTATAAACAACTTAACTTACTTAATTACATAATAATATAAAATTGGAAGTCCTTTATCTTCTCGTGAAGTGAAATAAAATAATCCTTACCTCGATTACATTTCTATATAACTACTATATTGCTTTAAATGATTTATTTCTGTAAATAAGTTAAATTCAGAAAACTTTGTGAAATATGAAATATGACTCAAATAAAGATTTATATGTTAAATTATTAAAATTGAATTAAATTATATAGTTAATACTTTGCCAACCTTGTACATAAGAAAAATACAATATATAATAAAAGTATAATGAAAAATAGTTACATCAAAACACCCGACTTTCTGCATCGTTTGATCCTAAATTTGGAAAAGTTTGTATGCGTGTGCCTTTTAGTTAAAATTCCTGAACTGATTTTAAAAATTCAAAACCGAAATATGATCACTTTAAATTGGCTGGAACCTTTTTTCTTAATTTTGTTACGTTATTTTTTTGCGTTTTTAATGAGAAGTATCATTGCGAATATAGTTTATGGTTCATACGAACATCCTTTAATATTAAAGTCCTGCGAAAAGCGGTTGTAATATAATCGTAAAAATTTGGGAAAAGGAAGGGTGGCGCTTACTACTTAAAAGTTTCTGGTAATTTAATATTAATTAGTTAGTATGACAGTATGAGCAATATATTGTTAAGTGTAATTTCACCAACTCATGCAAAACTTTACCAAGGAAGGAGTACGGGCACTGTTGCATTCCAACCGCCATGACTCTGATTAGATCAAATACATTATTAGATAAAATATTCTTATCACTAGTCTTTATTACATTTATGGCCATTTACGCCATTTCATAATGATAGTATTAAACCAATCAGTGTTGGATTTTATTTCTAAATTTTAAATATAGTCTTCAAACTTTTTTTTGGCTAATGACTAGCTAAGGCATATTGAAATTCTTTTTTTTTTTTTTTTATTTAGCATTAGTATAAACATTTCCATATCTCAGGCAGAGGATATTATATATATCCATACTCTCTTATACCAGGCACCTCTGCCTGAGATAATATAATAAATTTATAAATATATATATATATATATATATATATATATATATATATATATGTACTGTGTCAAGCATTGCAAGGAATAGGTGGTGTTTTTTGTATATCAAAAATTAAATGAAATTTAAATAAGTTATTAAAGAATGTGTAGTATATAAGTAACTGTTTTTGAAATTACACTGAAGATGAGACACACCATAGTCTCGAAACGTCTGTAATCATAAAATAAAGTTGTGTTAAACAAATCTGAGTGCTGTTTTGTTCATATTAAACAATTAATATATATATATATATATATATATATATATATATATAAATAAATTTATACATTTATATGAGAAATTAAGTGTCATATTTAAATAATAGGGTTAATACTGTTTATATCTGATATAGTTTTTTAATTTAGTTTTAAATTCATTTAAGTTCGTCAATATTTTTATTTCGACAGGTAATTTGTTGAAAAGGCTGCTTGCACTTCTAAGGGGGTTTACACGTCCTTTATTAACTTCCCGTAGGGTAGTTATAGTAATGGGCTGAAAATCGAAAATGAAATTTTTTGCATTTCTCGACGTTTTGAAGGTTTCTGAACATTTTAGCATACCTCAGAAAAAATGGATGTGTGTGTGTGTGTTTTGTATGTCCGCATATCTTCGTCCACGTTTTCAGGCGCACGGATCAACTGATTTGAATGGTTCAAAAAATATTCGATTCCTAGATTCCTATTAATAGGAAGATGTGCTGATTAGTTTTTGGCAAAGGCAGGTCCAGCCATTGCGGAGATACGGAGCAAAGAGTGCAGAAAATACAAATCGAGTTTTTGAGAGAACGGAGTATCCGATTTGAATGATCTAAAAAACATTCAATTTGTAATGACTGGGGGAAGAGGTGATTAGTTTTTGGCAAAGAGTCCGATTTGAATAATTCAAAGAACTTTCTGCTTGTTTCAACAAAATAATTGCTTTTGGAAAAATTTTTTTTTGTTTCAAGATTTTTTTTTAATTTTTTTTTCAGATTCAGATTTTAATTTTAATTCGGACTAAAGTTCTAATATACTTTAAACAAATAATTTCAACTTTGCAATTCAGTTTATATAAGACGATGTTACAGTATTTATAATAATCTATTTGAAAATATTTAATATTCCTCTAACATTTTGTTACAGTACGGGTAACAAGTAAGTTCCAGCAATTTGCCTTAAGGCACGATGCCATGCACCCCACTAGTTCTACTTAAGTAGAAAAACAATTGTTTTATTTGAACATCGTTGATGAAAAATGTTTAATTTGTCTTTATTTTTTATATTTTGTTTTGTTGGAAATAAATGTAGTACTTAGTTTTCTCTGTATTTTATTATTATTATGGTAATAGATGTAATAAAATTTCAGATTTAGGAGTTCTATTTGATTCTGGTTTGTTTTTCACGGATCATATAACTGATATTTGTAATAGAGCACACAAATCTTTAGGTTTGATACTGAGAAATTGTAAACAATTTAAATCTACCAATGCGCTTATTTGCATGTACTATTCTATTGTACGTTCAAAATTAGAATATGGTTCGATTATTTGGTATCCTCATCAAGCCAACAACTCTGATGCGATAGAAAAGGTTCAGCAAAAATTTCTGAAATACCTTTATTATAAAACATATAAAATTTACCCTGAACGTGGCTTTGACCACAACACTTTACTAAAAGAATTTGGTATTCCTTCCCTTGCCTCACGTCGATTTATCTGTACAATTATGTTCTTATTTAAACTTTGCAACAATTCTATATACTGTCCTCTTATTCTTAATCAACTATCCTTTAATGTTCCGAGGCTATCTACGCGTTCACAATTATTTTTCAATTATCCTACTCCTAAATCTAATTCTCTCTTAAATTTGCCTATTCTACTTATGTCCTCTAACTTTAACTTAATTAACCCTCCGTCGGTCGGCGTGGTCTGGCCAGACTTTTTTCGACTTCAATTAAAAAAAAAAAATACTTCTAGTAATCCTATATCGACTTGAAATTTCTTGACTTTTCCTAAAATTTCATTAGCTGTCGATCAATGAAAAAATCAGGACAAAAATATGTACAGAAGGATAATTATAAGGATATTGACTTTTTTATACTTCGAACGGTCGGAAAGGTCTGTCTAGACCACCCATACATTTTGTATGAAATATACGCTTTTTTATGGTATTTTCTATTCAAACTGCGTTGTTTATATTCTTTGCTATGTGTTGTAACATGAATGTTAGTATTTTTATGACGAGAGTTCCTTGAAAACCTACCAAACTTATTGGTAATCGCAAACACTGAAAATCGGATGAGTAATGCGCACATTCATTTCAAAGGCGCCGAAAAAGAATAAATATTGTTTTTCATTGATTTAAAACAGAAAAATTAACAAAAAAAGCAACGATTTTTTTTTATATTTCTTGATTTTTTTATATAATCGTTAATACATAAGACACCAAAAACTCATTTATCCCATATAAATGCATGTAAAATGAATGGTGGTCCAGCCAGACCTTTCCGACCGTTCGAAGGTGAAAAAATATCCGACCGACGGAGGGTTAATAATGAAATAGATATTCACAACACTTCACCTAATCAAATAATCTCCATCTGCACAAGTTAACCATTTTATTTTCTTTTCAAATATCTCATTATTTTATCTTATTCTGTTTATAAATAATATTGTTACATTCTGCATTATATGTAATTTTATGTTAATAACTATATATTGTAATTTTGTATATATTTCAATTGTTATTCATTATGTAAAATAACTGTATTTTTGAGTCCTCTTGGAGTAATCTGTGGGCTATATATTTAAATAAATAAATATCCGTTAGCCACGTATATTACCATAATACACCTAAGTCTGTTTTTACACGGTCTTTTTGTACACGGTTTTGATATAACACGGTTTGAAAATTGAATACTTTTAATTTTTTTACACGATTTTATTTCATTTAGCACGATTTGAATTTTTATGTACTTAAATTTTTTTTGTCAAATTTAATTTTTGCGAAGTATGTTCATATCACAAAAAAGTATTTATGAAAGAAAAAAGTCTGAAACCATCGATAGTATCGATAGTTTGCGAACACTAGCTTAAAGATTTAAGTGAATTCCCCTTTAGCGCGTACAAACAATTTTTACTGGTCAAAGCAAATGTGAATAGCACTAATTTAATTCTTGTTCTTAAAAATTCTTGTTTTTCACCAATTTTAATAGGTTTTAGAGATTAGGAACAAATCACCCATTTTTGTATAATCTCAATGTCTTTTTTTACACGTTTTTTTTTTACACGGATTCTTCTGGAACCAATCTCCGTGTAAAAACAGACTTAGGTGTATACTACATTAGATAAACGCAAGTTTTTGTCGAAACAAATTTGTAATGCTATTAATAAAATATTTAAAAAATAACGGAATAAAATGATTAATAATTTGTAATGCTATTAATAAAATATTTAAAAAATAACGGAATAAAATGATTAATATTGTGGTTGTAATCATAGGTAAAAAAAAACTTAGCGCGCAAAGCGACTTTACTGCCACCTGTAGCGCTAAAAGTAATTAATTTCAACACAACGATTTTGACGTTTGTAACAACAACAGCACATAACCTCAAATTGAGTTATTCAATTATTTTAATTCATTGTACAATGTTTTAATAATATGTGTAAATTTAACTACACGAAGCTATAGGAGTCAACACGACATGGCTAAACAGTATGTATATTCCTTTTATAATATAAAACTTTGATAACTTTAGAAAAACTTAACTTTGTTTTACCTGTACAGGTACGGTTTAATAATACCCGGCAAAGAAAAACCTAAATTGCCAACTGGAATTGCGAAGGGTAATGTTTTTGGCAGTGATAGCGAAGATGAAGGCGATGAGGCTAAATCCACGTTTGGTATGGGCGGCACGACTACTTTAAAACGACAGGTAAACATTTTTTTGTGATTTATTTTCTTAACAATAGAATGACGGAGCAGGTCACCAACAATTTCAAGTCATTTTTTTATAATATATTTTTGGTGTTTCATAGTACAATGAAAGGTAGAGTCAACCCTCTGGTTGCACAGTTCTCATTAGGGAATGCAATACCGATAAAAAATTTCAATACCGGTTATTCGGTAATTTTTTATTTTAAAACCGGAATAGCGGTAAATTACCGGTATTTTTATTATCTTAAACAAACGTAAACAAAATTGAAAGTTACTAGTACAAATATAAAAAAATGTATATACAACTACAACTATATTCAACTAAACAATAAAATAAAACAATAAGTTTATCTTTTTAAATAATAATTTAACAAAAGTATATGCAATTTAATTAATTCATTATCACTATCGAGAATATTGAGTACTTTTTACCAGAAACAAACGTACGAGTAAGAAAGACCAAAAACTCATAAAAGATCATATTACATTATTATAATAAACTGTATTGTTTGTATCCGATGTGTTAAATTAGCATAATCTCCAATATTTAAAAATAATAATTTTTGTACACTAATTTAAGATCAGATTCTTTGTCGAGATAAATAATAAGTTACTATAATTGCTGAGTATTGTTATTTAAAACAATGTGATGCTTCTGTAGTATTTTCAAACTTCGAAACGTTTTCGAAAAATAATATTTTATAATTGTAATAAGAAGCAAAAAATATTTAGTAATTATCATAATTATTATGTATAAAGTTATAAAAAAAATAAAGATTACGCAGGGGTAATTTGTATGATATAAAATATTTTGGCGCAAATATTACTTAAAAAACCGTTACATTTTTACAAAAGATGTAGCAAACATCATTATCTATCAGTCGAATTCTTTTTATTGTAACACGATATGAAGCCCTTAGTAAAGCAATAAATATTCAGTTTAATGACGAGTTGAGATAATATTTGACATTTGTTTATCTTATAGAATCACTTGAAGATATAGCTGTTTATGCGGTTATGGAATTTAAAGATAAATTTGTTCCGAGAAATTTAAACTTTAGTTTATTATGTATCAAATAGCGCTTATGTAATCATACCGAAAATACCGGTAAATTTGAGATAAATACCGGTAAAAATACCGCCAAAAAATCGGTCGGTTTACCGGTAATTCGGTATACCGGTATTGCATTCTCTAGTTCCCATACTACGCGGAGCTAAAAATCTGACATCCCTCCGACTACACGGACTTCCATTACACTACACGGTTTTTGTTTATCAGCCCACAAGTTCCTTGCGCAACCTATGAGTGATTCTAGGAACTTGATATCAAAAGGGTATTAATGTAAGTTTTGTTATCAATTTTTATCTTTTAGACATGCCTGATTATATAATATCTGTCTAAGAACATGTTTGAACTGACTACTGCGTTGTACCAATTTTTGAATGAGTTGTCTATGTCATACATTTCGTTTCGTCCGTATTACTACTCCTACTTCAAGTTGTATTTCTTGGTCTCCATATAGCACGTTAAAAATTGTGCGATTTGAACTAACTTTGAGTCTCTCATAGCGCGGTTTTCATACTGCACTATATAAGTTTCCATAGAGCACATTATGAATTAACCTGAATTGTATGTTAAATACGAGTTTTTTATAGCACGATACGGACTTGACGCGTTAACTGAGGGTTGACTGTATACAAAAATTAATTTCTATTCCTTTCTAATCCCTTACCCAAATTGACTTTCAATCAGGCAAAATAGGTATGTAAACAACCTCCGTCATTCTAGTGTTAAGGGAATATTCTAGTGTAGAGACATGAGTTTTAGGTCACAAGAGTACAGAAAAACAAAAAAAAATTTTAGCTTTAAGTAATTATGTCTAAGCATATGTTGTCTTCTCGTGTTGCATATGGAGCTACTAATTACAAGTGAGGTTCACACTTGAATAAAATATACTTTAAAAACACGAAGTAGATGAAATGAAATGTTTTAAACTAGTTAATTTATAAAGTTTGAAAGACATTAATTGGAAATCGTATTGATTGATTTTAAATGAAAGCGAAAATGTTACATTAAAATAAACAGTTGAATATTGTATCTAAATAGCTGAATCTCAATTCTTATTGAATAAGAGGGTTTTCCAATGTTGAGATATGAATTTTAGGTCATTTTTAAATCATTTTATACTGTCATCTTTTTTTTATAATTTCCTTTATAAACGTTGCAAGAGTACAGAAAATTTAAAAAAAAAATTATAATTTAAAAAATTAGCAGTGGTTGATGTGGGGCTTTTCAAATTATTGACACGTGACCATGCTCATGATTGCAACCCTCCTAGTAATCTGAAATGCAAAAAAAGATCATTAATCTGGTTATGCCACTATGGTATAAACTAGGATTAAGTTAAAAAAAAAGTTCTTTGACAAAAAGGGCACTATTTGAAAACAGAGATCATTTTCTTATGGTTTTCTTAGTTTCTCGATTTTTTTAAATTTAGTAAAAATAAAATTTGAAGATGAGGTAGTATTATATGCAGAGAGAAGTCTATAAAGAAGATTCTCTGAAATTTTCAAGTAAATCGGCCCAGTAGAACTCGTGAAATCGTATTCATCGTATTGAAAAAGATAGGTTTGAGAAAAACGAATTTAAAGTTTTGCTAAATAAAGTAAACAGAAGAGGATTATCATGGTCAAATAGCTGTATATTCAAAAATAAATTAAACTTTTAAAAACCTTCTCATACACTATATTCTTGAACAGTTAAGCTTTGAAAATATGAAAAAATAAAAACAAAATAACGATTGTTTGGAATTTCTACACTGTCAATACAATATCACCTCAAGTAATAATCTTTGGTTCTTTTTCAAAACAATTTGAAAAGATTACACGTTCATTCATTTCAAATTGTTTTGCATTTGCGGACCTTATTTTGTAGAATGGTTATTATAGATCTAATATACTTATGGGCCAATTTTTGTTGTCATATCTTACGACAAGGTCACACTTCAAAATGTTATGATAACTGCAGAGGTAATTCTCGGTTACATGTTTTGTCATATGGCAGCATGGTGATAATATCAAGCAGTTCAAAATAAGCGTTACTCTGACATTGCATTTATAAATAATATATGTGAGAAGTCAAACTAATGTTAATGCTAGCTTTTTGCAGTTTTGTCACAACGAACAAGGTGTTTTATCTAAGAATTGGCCTATTAATGTATATAAAACAATAATTTTCTTTAAAACAAAATTCATAATTAGCTCCTAAACTTTATATAAATATTGCTTATAGAAGTTAATAATAAATAAAAAATAAATCACTCTTTATCAATAACTCTTTAAATCGAGTTATGAAATATACTCTAGTTAAAAATGAACTGAAGTTGAAACAGGAGTAGGAGCAATGGGTAATCGAGATAAGAAGAGAATTTGCTCCCTTTAATTTAATTTAAATTAAAAAATATAATTACACTTATTTCAATTCTTTATTATCGGACCAGAACAAAAGAAATGACATGCCATAATAATATTTTTATGAACAAATATTTTGTAATACATTTTTATAAAGTTGGGAATTATTAATTATAAATGAACCCATTTCCGCGATCTACTTTTCATTATTCAATTCTTTATTATATACTTTTTATAAAATAAAATTTTTAATACGATAATTCATTGTTCAAAAAAATCATATTAATAAGGTAACATCTTTAATTTGATTTATTAATATGGTTACTATTTCATTGAGATTTAATTTACTATTATTATTACTAATAAAACAATAAAAACTTATTCTGCGCATCTCAATTTAATAAAATTCTAATTAAAATTGGACTAATAATTATCATTATTATAGAAAATACAAACATTAATACTAAAATTAAAAATTGATATTCTAAAAATATACATTGTTGAATTAATCCCAATAATTTCTCAAGCACTAATGCAAATATTAAAAATAAAATACAAAACTAATTACCAAAAATATTCTTATTTCTAATAATATATAATTATTATAAAATATAAATTCTTGATAATTTAAAGTTTTAAAAACGTGTGCACCACAAGTGTATATTTTAATTAAACTATTTAAAAATAGATAAATTAAATGTTTTTAAATTAACAAACTTAAAAGAATTTACGTAAATCTATATTTGCAAACTCTTCCTGAAGAACATAATTATATTCTTATTCCTCTAATTCTATTATAAATGAATTTAATATAATCCTCTCTAAAATCAACTTACATTAAATCTTTTTATACATTATACACTAGTAATCAAATGGATCTCTATAAATGCCTTCTAAATGAGTTAACTTTTCGAATTATTTATGATTAAGTGGTTCTTGAAAAAACTTATTTATGTGTTTTTTCAGGCTCGAATTGTTCAGCAAAAAGCTCTTGAAGAAGACCCTACCGTGTATCAATACGATGAAATATATGATGAGATGGAATCTAAGAAAGTTGATGAAGAAAAAATAGCCGAAAAGAAAAACAGAACCTCGTTATATAGGAAAGTTATTAGAGTCTGCATCAAAGAGAAAATTGGAGCAAGAACGCAGAGTTGAACGACAGGTGGGCAATTAAAGATTTTAAAATATTAGATATGTTAAAATTACGGAAATTACATAGTTAAATTTAATATTATAAGGATTATAATAGTTCAAATAATTCATTTTGCATCTATATTATAAATGTGGTAGCAGCAATAGAAGAATTGATGGTGATGTATCTAATAGATCCTCACCACACATTATTTAATACATTATTTTTAAATAAATTGGTAAAACTAAAAATGAAATTTAACAATTTACTATTTGAATCAATCTGAAATTCTGTATTTTCTATTTTGATAATGAATTTTGTAGCTTCAATATCGTACGATTTTGTTCTAAATTCTGAAACTTCTAATGGTTGAATGCATGAAGAATTTTTTAAACTTTCTGAAAAAAAAAATAATTTGCTTACTATTCGCATTTGTTTTTAAATAATTGTTTGATCTTAGTGAACAATGCAATAAGCACTTTAATAATGCAATGTGCCTCTCTATTCACATTCTTATTGATTTCAATAACACTTTCAACGACACTTTTTAAAATTGAATTGATCAATCAAGATATAACATGAGTTCTTTATACTATGTGATAAAATTGCGCAGTGTGTTAACTTTAATGTCCCATAAGAAAAAGAAACGCTATAATTTTTAATACCGTCGTCATTTAGAAATAACCTCATAATCACCGCGACCATTGTTCCTTCTGTGTGGTAAATATCAATGGAATAAATTCAGGTAATAGGAGCAAATGGTAATACCCCATGACCTTAATGGTTTTGGGGTCTTCTTACATTCAACAACTCCTATCCATGCTAATGATGATCAATTTAGAACATCAAATCTTCTACCTACCATATAAAGAATCGAGAGACCAACATTAAAGAGAAGACAGCAAGAGTTAAAAACTGATATATTCATAAAACTCATAAAAAATAGAATTCTTTCGTAATTTCTTTGAATGAATCGAGAAGAAAACCAGGGAGTCAGGTGAGAGAATCCTCCAAGACATCAGGACTTTGGAGGAGCGATATCAAGG